CCCGCCAATGAATCTCTAGTCCTCCCTGAAATTTGTTTTAAGGAAAATGCTAAGTGTACCTAATAAATGTACACAATGGAGGATGACATAATGTGATGTGGCAACCATTCTGTTGTTGATGTGAAAGTGTCAAATTTGAATTAAAGGTGTTGATCAATGCCACTTACAATTCTGTAGACAATTGTGTAGATCATTATGTACTTGTAGCATCACTCTTGTTTTAAAGGGTGATGAAGCCAAATTTAAGCATTCGACATTATCATGAAAAGTCAGCTCACTAGGACCTGTACGTGATCTCCGGTCAAAGTCGTGTTAGCATTTCTGTTGTACTTCAACAATTTCTAATGTGTTACCAGCGGAATTGTTCACCGGACACCGGCCCTTACAGGTGCTGTCAACGCAACATCTGTATGCTCTTTTTTTTTTTTTCTTTTTTGACTAGAATGAATGAAAATTTGTGAAGTGTTAATCTGTAAAAATTTTGTGAAAAAATTTATGTACACCTAGCATGACTATTTCAAAATGATTTACTTTATGATTCAACTTCTTCTTTACATAAAGAGTTTTTAGACCTTGATATGTCTCTTATTTTTTCTCTTTTGGACCGGTGAATATTTTGTGTTATCACTATTTTGCTTTACGATCACTTTCCCTCAATTTTACGTTTTACGATGGAGATTCAAGAAGATAATTCAAGAATTATTGAAAAGATGCAAGATTGTTTTTCATCTTCTTTCCACAATTTAATTCCGGAGATTTTGTGTCAATCCAATTCGTGTTTATGTGATCATATGAAGCTAAGCTAATTTTATTGACGTTTGGGTAATTGAAACCTATATTTTGACGTTTTTTATATTAAATTTCAGATTTTGACATTAATATTCGGTTTCAATAATTAATAGGAGTTTAATGCTTTTCAATTACCTGACATTTTTTTTATTAGATTTGTGATTTCTAGTTACATTCAGAGAAATAATATGAATTATAGCACATAGTCCATAGATGATAGAGATACACTGCTATATTTTGCAAAATCTTATGTACGATCTTGTGATTTAATGCATTTTCATATATTCACATCATTCATGCCGATAGTCCCATGTGAGGATAAATTTAATTATATTCGAGAGAGAATATTTAATAAAATAGAAACGTTGATTGTTAAATCCAAATAGGTGTCGTCAAAAAAAATTGGTAACATCAATTTTCGTACAATTTTGTTATTCAGTTAAAGTCAACATTAATTGGAAACTAATTGAATACTGAGGTCCCGTGAGAACAATACTCGAACTCATATCCATTTTATTACTAGTCATGATACGATTCACTTGTAATTAAAATTAACTGTTGATTTTAACTTAAATTTTAATTAATTTTTAACGGTACCAGACAAGAGCTAATAATAATAAGCATCTAACTACTATTATTATACATATCTATTTCGATTGTCTTTGAAAAAGGATGTAAAATGTCGAGATACTCGTTGTGTTCATATTTTATTATAGAATGATTGGGTATTTAAAAATTTGAAATGTTAAATGTGGAAAAAAAAAAAAAAAAA